CGCCTCCTGCTCCCTAAATGCCAGAAGCAACTTACGATGTCTGTAGAGTTTTAGAGGAAAAACGCTGTGACGCGAAAATCTACACTAGACTTTCCATTGTTTGGTGTGAAGATAATTTAAGTGACATCCTCAAAATGTGCATAACCAACACATACTTCCAGGAAAATAAAATACCAAAATGTGTTTTAAGTGAACCAAAATACCAAATTCAAGATTAGAGAAGCCAAGACATAAAAGGGCTGAGAATTAGTGGTAAACCACTTTTTCCCAAAATCAAGGCTCAATTTTCTAATAAATATAATTTAAAATGTGACAAACATGATTAAAATAATGCAAATGTTGTAAATGATTCTCAAAATAGAGATACATAATGTCTAAGAAATTTTTAAAGTGAGTAAATCTAAACCTCCAGAAAATCCCAGCCCAGCTCGGGTGGGAAGGGAGAGAGGTGGGAAGGGAGAGAAGCACAAATGCAGAGCAGTGATGTTCGTATTACTTTTTACTCCACGCTTATGGGGGAAACAGGTTTGGGGTGCCTGTTTGAACATAAGGCAGCCATCAGTACACGGAAACAGAAAGTCACCAATGGAGACACACGACCCAGAGATATTTCTGGGATCTCTCCGGAAGGAGAGACACTAACCCATTCCAAGGTTAACTCTGGGTTGTGGGATTATATTTTGCCTCCCAAAGAATAGGATAATTTTGTAATAAAATTTAAATAAATGGGATTTCATGAACAGTGATTGGTGCCTTAGAGATGCTTAATACGTTTTGGGTTTTCTTTTTTGAGACAAGAAGTGGGAAGGAAGAAGTGGAAAATTTTGCCATGAAAATTTATGCACTATCATCACCAAGTTGTGGTGGTCAGACTGGATGAACCAAGTATACAGACAACAAACACCATAGAAATGGGCATTAGCAGTGACAGCCAGAAAGGGGCGTGTGGGTTCCTCACTATGCCAGTAATCCAACCACTATATCAGTAAACCAACATCTATACCAGTAAACCAACCACTGCACCAGTAAACCGACCACTATACCAATAAACCAACCAAAACACCAGGAAAACAATCTCTACACCAGTAAACCAACCATAATACCAGTGCACTGACCACTATAGTGAAGAGTAGGCATCACCCTAGAGGCCAGAGAGGACAGTGTCGCGCCCCTGTGTCCAGGCCCCAGGCTGGCTGCAGAATCGGGCATCAAGAACTGCCCGTGCTGGTCCAGGAGGCCCCTCAGAACCCTCGTGACCAGCCCTCAGGGAGGCATCTGCAATCTCGCAGGACGCAGAGGTCATGAAGCCCAAGTCCCTCCTGCCACAGTGATATGGAGTCACTGAGGGGTGCCCAGGAGGGAAGGGCACAGTAGGAGTGTTTCGCCCACAGTTATGGAGGTGACTTAGCAACCTGAGGAGTCCCACCACTGCAACAGAATGAAAAATCTGTGCTTTACACATTTCTTTTCCCAGAGAGCAGATGCATTGGTGACTGTGACTAAGTTTTGTCAGTTTGAATGGTTGTCTTCCAGCCCTACCTAACCATCTCCTGTCCCTTTCCCGTTGTGGGGTTTCAGAGTGGAAACAGCACAGTGGCACGCGGGGGGTGCTTGGCGTGGGTTTTCCACAGTGTTGGGTCAGTGTCGGGCGGCAAGCCCTGAGATGCGACTGCGGGCACCAGGCAGGCACAGGCTGAGGTCTCCAGGCCGTGAGAAAAGGAGAACGGCTGAGCCTCGCTGCCCAGAGTCGCAACCAAGGGCAGAGTCAACAATCTGATGTATTTGTGTTATCTAGTCAGCAGAATTCCAGCACAATTCTCTTTATTTTTTGAGGCCTTGGGAAAGTTATTTCATTATTGGTATTTGCTCACTCAGCTATGCACTGGAAATAAAAACACTAACTCAACATAAATTTGAATTGAAAGAAGTAAGTTGTGATTTTTAGCCATGACATTTTCCGTTAGGTGTGAAGACTCAGGGGACACCAGTAGGACTCAGAATAGATGTGCCCTGGAAAGTTCTAACAAGAAAGATGAGACACAAAATAAGCATTGAATGAAAGGTGGACCACAAAGAAGAGAGGGGAGAAAACTTGAGTTCAAAGGGATGACTTCCTCCTCGAGGCAAGAAGACTGACAGCGCTGCACACGGTGCAGGGAGGGGCCGGGCTCAAGAATCAAGCGTGCAGGGCCCAGCCCACAGAGGAGGGGCGTCCAAGGGCTAAGTGCATGTGTTTGTACAGAAGGGTGATCTAGGCGAGAGAAGTTGTGCGAGCAGAGGTGAAAACAACAGGAGAATTCAGGACCGCAAAGGAAGGAAAACCGGTTCCCTATGGCTGGCTTTCGGGGTGCCCGAGAGGAGGGGGTGAAACAGGTTGGAAGGGGCGGTGGCAGCAAACTGGGGAAGGCTGGGAGGGTTTGGCCTTCTTAAGACAACAGGGGGCCCTTAGGAGCAGTTTTAGAGGAGCTTTGGTTACCCAGGACTGCAGGATCAGTGAGACTTGGGCATAAAATGGCCCAGAGGAGGAGGCGAGGGAGGGCACTGCCAAGTGTATGGGCGGGTGGGGGTGGGGGCTAAGGCTGCTGGGAGCCCACAACAAGGGGGAAACCTCTTCCTGCCCCGACGCCCCACCCTGAGGGAAGCCGCCCGTGAGAACAGACCATGGAGGAAACCTGGAAACTGCAGCCGAGGCGCCGGCACAGCCTGCTGGAACCCCGCCCCAACGGGACGCAAACCTTACTGTGCCAACCTAGAGCATCGCCACTTGCAATCGTGCTGGGCTCCGCTGTAAGAGCAGAAAGGAGGGCTTTCCGCAAGCCCCGGATGGCACAGTGTCTGCTCCTCCAGCCGAGGCCTGGCACCCATGGCATTCAGCAAGCGTGTGTGACCAAAGAGGGTGGTGACGTCACTAAGAGTGAGGTGGTCTCTGTGCACACAATCTCGCAGTGACAGACAACATCACAGACGGTATCAACCCACCTCAACAGAGCACAGCAGAGAACAAGTTGGAAAAACTAGAAGGCGCACAGTTAGAAAAGCCGTGCCCCCACCCCATCACTCGTCACGCCCACTTCTTCCAGTCCTGGGGTCGGCTGGGGCAGGAATGCCAATCGTTATGCTCATTATCTTGAGGAGACGTGGTCAGTGTTTCTCCAACACTTGGCCTGAATTGATAAGTTCAGCTCACTCTGCCGACGGTCTGGAGAGATCTAGCTGGCATCGTGACTGTGGTCTGCTCCCAGCAGCTCAGAGGGGTCTTCGCCTTCAGCCCTCCCGCTGCCAGTGTCCCTTCATAGACTCGAGTGCTGCAGATGATTAAGGTCCTGTCCCGAGTTGCTGCAGAGTATGCTGCTCCTGCTTTCCTGTCGGTTATTTCATAACTGCGTTTGCAGGGACGAGGAGGAGAAGGAAACAACACGTCAGGCAATTCAGGCCCAAAGAATGTCACCCCCAGGAGAGAAGTCGCTCTTCCACCCACCCCACCGGGGTCCACGCCCAGCCCCAGCTGATCCCCCTGCTGGGAAAATAGACCACTTGGTAAATTATTCCCCACATTCTTAAGATCTATTGAGGACAGTACATGCTTTGTACACAGCTAGGTGTCCTTGTGTGGGCTCCCACAGTGACTCAGACTGCTGCTCGGCCTTAGCAAGGCCAAGAAGTAAAACCCAAACCAAACAACAAAACCACAAACATCTGGTGAGGGCCCCTGCCAAGGGCCCAGGTGAACGCCAGTGCCACCCTCTCTCCCAGGTAGACCCAAGACTACCGCCTTTCCACGTCGCCACGCGAGCTCTGAGATCAGGAAAGTGAAATACTGGGCATTGGAGGATGGAGGCGACCACCGAAGTGAGTAGGGTGGACCGCCAGACAAGATTAAAGGAGACCAGGTGTCCAGTCTCCCGGCACGAGCTGGGCAGAGCCTTTGCTCAGGATGCTACTTCACGACTCATTCTCCCAGCTTCACCCCCTTTTCTCAGCCTGCGTGCTCGGAAGGGGTTAAATAAAGTAGGTTAGGCCCTTCCCACACAAAGGTGTGATTAATAAGCACAGGACACTTCACCATATAAGAACATCGCCCGCTGTGAAGGGAAGCAGGGCCCTCAAACTAAACACTGGAAGTACAAAGGCAGTATGATTAACACAATGGAAACCATGTGTATGGTCCAGATTTATAAGCTCAGCAGTAGAAATGATGAGTTGTTTGTACACTCGTGACACTTAGAACTATGCAATTGCTTAAGTGGATAATTTGGTGCAATTATACACGGCAAAGATAATATTTTTGAAAGGCTAATAAGACGTCAGAAAAATAATCCCAAGGTTAATTTAATATTTAGATTCAAAAATAATCAAAAAACAAACTATTATTGAGCACTAACTATATGCAAGTGAGGACGGGGGAATCACCACCTGCAAATCGCCATCCAGGTGAGACCTGCCAGGCTGCCCCCGAGCCGGGTGCCTAACGCCAGAGAGGGTCGGAAAGAAACAAACAAAACTGTCATTATTTACAAAAAAGATGTGATTGTGTATTTAGAAAATTTAAAAGAATATTTCTTAAAAGCTATTAGGAATAATAACTGAATTTATCAGGATAGCTGGACACAAGGTCAATATTCAAAATTCAATTGCATTTCTGTATACAAACAATACACAACTAGAGAGTATATTTGTCTAAATAGCACTTACAATAGCATAAAACAGCAATAACAAGAAATAAATCTAATAAAAATGTGCAAAACCTTTAGAACAGGCTACAAAATATTACTGAAACCTATTAAAGAAGTCATAAATAAATGTAGGGATATTTCATGTTTGTGAATGGGAGGATTAAATGTCGTTTAAAATGTCAAATGAATCCAAGTTGAATTACAGATTCAATGCAATACCAATCAAAACGCCTGTGGAAAGTGACGAGCTGACAGTAAAATACGTGTGGAAAGACACAGAGCAGCGAGGACAGTCTTGAAGAAGAGGAACACGGCTGAAGCGCTTACCTCCCAGGTCTTAGGAAGATCCTTACACACCCAGAGCGATGAGACCAGGGCGGTATCGGTGCAGGACACCTGGAACACAGCACAGATCCAGAAACAGACAGTCGTCCAGTTAGACAAAGGCAACTCCGCAGTGGGGAGGGTGGTCTTCTCAGTGTACGCCATCAGGTCAGCTAAACACGTACGAGAAAAAGCATCAACCTTGATTCCTACAATGCGTTCTACTTAAAAATCATTTCCAAATATACCCTAGGACTAAATATGAAAGGGAAAATTATGAAGTTTCTAGAAGATTATGAAGGACAACATCTTAATGTTTCTTAAGATTTCTTAAACAAGATGCAAGGAGCCTATAAAAGGAAAAATTGTAAGTAGGACTTGATTAAAATTAAGGAAAAAAGATACCGTTAAGAGAAGAAAAGGCACAAAGTGAGAGAAAGTATTTGTGATACATAGACCTGAAAAAGGACTCATATCCAGAATATTTTAAAACAAATAAGCAAACAAACAAAACAACAAAGAATTGACAGAAACCTATGACCTTGAATGAGGAGAGGCTTGGCAAGTCTTTACAAGAGGCCATTCAAACGACCACTATACAGGCCCGAAGCCACTCAACCTCACTAGGACCAAGCAGGTGCAGTTACACCCACTGCGGAAGGCCTCCGCACACCCCAGAATGGCTGCTGTCTAAAGCTGTCAGCATCCAGTGATGGAGATGGCCTGGAGCAACTGGAACGCTCATCCATTGTTGGTGGGATGTAAATTGGTGAAACCAGCTTGGAAAACCTTCTGGCCCTTTCTGATGGAGATGAATATGCACATCCTCTAGGAGACCCAGCAAGACTGCAGCTCAGTGTACCCCAAACTGAAATGCACTTGCATCTGCATCAAAGCCTTGTCCACGTCCACATCGTTCACAAGAGCCCCAAACTGAAGAGAACCCAGCAGGCCTGGAGTAGCTAGATAAACCGTGGCACAGTCACTATAAAATGCTATGAAACAGCATAGAGGAACAAACCGCTGATAAGAGCTGTGTGGAGGAACCACAGACGTGATGTTAAGTGACAGACGACAGGCCAACAGAGCACATAGTGTATGGTTTTATTTGTATAAAGTTCAAAACTAGGCAAAGCTAACTGTGGTAACAAATGTCAAAGTAGCCATGGCTTGCCGAGAGCAGGTGGGGTGTGGGAGGCTCCCGGAGGCAGTCAGCGCTCTGTCCCGACTGGAGTGGCGGTGTGTTGGCGTGCTAACACTGACTCTGTGTGTTAGCGCTGTCCAAAGCCAGCGAGCTGCAGCTGAGGTTTGTGCCCTGCTCGGGGTTATACTTCAGCAGAAAGTTTAGCCAAAGCCCTTTTGCGTTGGAGTTTCAGCCCTGAAAAGATTCTCTTCTTTTAGAGAGGAGAAACTTTTCTGATAAAAGAAGCCTAAGAGCTCTCTCTCTACCAGGAGTCAAATCGCTGCAGTGAGAAGAGAATACACAGATGGGGCTGAGGTCCACTGTTCTCTCCTGTCACTCGTGACGACCGTTTGCCCCCAGAATCTTCAGCGATGTCCATGGTGTTTCTGCATACTTCAGTCTCGGGGTCCTTGGGCATTTCCTCGGGGTCCTACGTGCCCCCTGGGAGGACTTATTACCTCGGCTGTGGATCCTGTTTCCAAGTGCAGCGCGCTGATTGAGGTGGCCGTCTACAGCGAGCCAATAAACAACTCGCGGTTAACGTAAAGTCGTCTCAAATCCGTGTTTACACACACAGCTGCTTCTCCATGAACTCAACAGACCACAAATCATACTTCCCACACCCAACTGTCTTCCCTGTCTCCCTCCTTCCTTCTCCTTCTTAAAAAAGCTGCCCCACCAAGTCCCCTGTGATTGGACTCTTGGCTGGGGGTTAGGGTAGCTCCCCAATTTTAAAGGGAACAGCCCTCAGCTATCTCCTCCTCCAAACCCTCTAAGCTGGGAAGATGCCATAGCCCCAAATCCAAGTCATTACCAGGAGAGGCCCAGGCACTGACCCCTAACTCTCCCTGAGAAAAGTACTAACAACACTCTTGGCTGCTCCATCTTGTAGGATCTGGTCTCCTCTTGCAGTTGGTATTTATGGTTTTTTCCCCTGTTTACAAAATGCTAGAGAACAGTGATGACCTCCTAACAAATAACATAGCTTATTTCTGTGGCCTTTCTCTCACTCCCAAGAGAATACGGACATGAAGGTTAGAAATTTCATACCCAGGAGGACTCTCTGTGAGTTAACCCAAAAAGCCCAGGAAACATCATTTTACTATGTATTTTTTGTTATAAAATTGTCCTTCCTGGGTCTGGCAGTTGGAACGTAGCTATAAAACATGGTGCCATCTCCCAGTGGCATCTCTCAGTGAGGACTCAGGTCTCCCTGCTCTGTCAGAACCCAGAGGGCCAATGCCCTCCTCGCGTGTGGACAGAGCAGAACACAGCTGAACTGTTGAACCCAGGAAACCTCAGACGCGGCACCACCGTGTGAAACGCCCACTGCCCTGGGCCAGCGGTCACCCTGCCATCTGAGTTGGGCAAACATCGTTGGCTAGAATGAAGTGTACAGAGCCTGGCAGAATGTTCTCCATTAAAGAGAGAAGGCAGAGAGAGAAACAAGAGAAAAAACCCCAACATGGCAGGAGAAATACTACACGTATGAGTCTCTTATTCATGAAGATAAACCTGATCCAGGTCTCCTGCAGGCAGGGGCTCACGGAGCTATTTTGAGAAGCGTCTCTGTGTTTACCAATTTGAGGTTTCCATGATCTTGGACTGTTTGTACAGACAAACCCGTTTGACTCATTACGTTTGACTCATTGCAATTCATCACAAATACAGTGGCTCAGTTCCGCAATAGCTGTCTGATTTTCTGTTACATGATACTAATCACAAATTCAACCAACTCGTTCCACTTTGAAGTGTGGTTTATGTCGTGTATACACAGCTTTAACACTTGTGTTTATCTCAGCCTTGTTCCAAAGAAGACTGGAGCCACTGAAACCATATTCATCAACGAACAAGTGGAATCCACGACGGGAGGAAAAGGGGTGTATGCCAACTCAGGAAAAGATAAACACCCAGAGGAGAAGTACCCCGGGCCTGGATCAGAGGGACATGATCCACTTCACTCCAAACACACCCTCAGTGCACCTGGTCCTGGATCAGAGGGACGTGATCCACTTCTCTCCAAACACACCCTCAGCTGCACTGGTTACTTTTGAAGGTGGCCCAGGAGAGTGGACTGTTACCTCCTGACTAAGCATCAGAGTTACACTGACGATGACAAGGAGGGTCCCACTTCCCCTTCCGAGCCTGCACACCATCTCAGGTATCTAATGCACCCCCATCCTCTCCGGGTGCCTCACTTCCAGCAGCTCACAGTTTGCATTCCGCCCCACTGACAGCAGCTCCTGCCTCGCTGAGAACTGAGAACTACAAATGCAGCTTCTGAGCCCATAACAGACCTGGTGAATTGGACCTCCCTCTTCACAAGACCCCCAGTGGCTGTGTGCATGGTGCAGTGGGAGGAGCTGGGTCTACCGCAGACAGGTTTCCTCCCTCCAGCCTCGCTCCCCACTCTGCCAGGCTGCAGCCTGCTGTGCGTCCAGGCACAGAGCAGCCGCTGTTCTGGAGCCCCTCGGCTGTCTCCGTCTGCCCTCACCCTCGTCCTGCCCACTGGTCTCGCAATGTGACTGGCACTGGCCATGGTCCCTCCACTGCCTGCTCCCTTGACCCCCAGGACCCTGAACAAAGGTCGAACTTGGATGGAACTGACCCTCTTGAAGACCCAGGGACAGCTGCTGGGAGCCAGGGCACAAGAGCCTTGATGTGAGCACAGAACCCAAAACCCGTTCTCGCAGTCCAAGAGGAAGCACACAGCATGGATCCCCTCGCAGAGGGCTGCTCCAGACACCCAGGGACCATGCCTCCTTTCCCTCCAACACGTAATCCTTCTCATCACCCTCCAGGGCCAAACTTCCCTGCCTCCAGGACACCCCCCACCTCTGCGCAGAGGGCTGATCTCACTCTAGAAGCTGCCCCCACAACAAGGATTCATCACCCAGACTCTGATACTTAATCCAGAGTAACAGCAGGGGCATCAGCAGAACCCACAGGGGCATCGACAGAACCCACAGGGGCTCTGGCAACCCCAGGCTGCAGCTCCTGAGAGCTCCGCAGCTTGCAGGGGGCATAGGCCCTCTGCCCTTGTCCTTTCTCCCTCCTCTCCCTCCATCTCTCCCCCTCTCTCCCCCTCTTCCTCTCTCTCTCTCGCTCTCTCTCTCTCTCTCTCCCTCTCTCCTCCTCCTTTTCCCCCTCTTGCTCTCTCTCTCTCTCTCTCTCTCTCTCTCTCTCGCTCTCCCTCTCTCCTCCTCCTTTTCTCTCTCCCTCTCTCCCCCTCTTCCTCACTCCAGCTCTCTCTCCCTCCCCCCCATCCTTCCCTCCCCGCGCCCCCCTTCACTCTTCTGTCTTCTGTGTTGGCCATGAAACACAACAACACACCCCTTTCCCAGGCCCAACCATATTTCCCTGAGATCATCTGCCCTACATTTTCATAAGGAAGGCCAACATTTTATAAAAGGCCACTTGGTCTGCAAAGAGTTCCCTGGCCCAAAAGGAGATGGCAGCTTCTGGAGTGCCTGCCATTCGAACAAGAAGACAGACGGCCACTGCTGTGGAGGGACATGGGGCCAGTGTCCCCAAAGCTACTCCCTCACCCCCAATTCTGTGTGATGAGGGAGTCCCTTAGAATCCAGTTATACCAATGGGACCTCTTCTCAGGAAATGTGTGTGTTAGCTGAGAACCCATGATCTAGAGCAGAGTCCAGATCCTAAAGTGTTTGTATGTATTCTACGGATGAAAGCTCACACAACCCCAGGGATGAAGTTATGGAGAAACATATTTTGGATCAGTATGAAAAAAGAACTTTCAAGTAGTTACAGCTGATCTCAGAAGGAATAGAACGACCCTAAACAGATGAGCTCCCTGTCACTGGAGGCATTCAAGCAGCAGCCAAATGACCTCTTGGGGGAATGGTGTCACACCCTCTCATATGCCCAAATTCATCTGTATTACAGCTCTGCCCACTGGGCTTGGAGTCAAAAAGATCCCTGGACACATGGCAGAGCCGTGATGACCGTGAGATGCAACTGTGCCTGGACAGCTTTTCAGATGTAGAGAGGCTGTCACCTTCCGAACGCAGTGCAAGTCCCCACAGTTTCCATGCAAATGTGGGGCCGGGTCTCACCCTGGCCTTACTGCTGCATCTCCGTGACCTGTCCAGTGGGTCAGAGCATTTCCTAGGAATTGATCATCTCCCACCCAGCAGCTGCAGAGATGGGGAGGCCATCCTGGTCTGGTCCCAGGCCCGGGCGGGCACAGCATCAGGCACCGCTGGGAAGGCCTCGATGCTCCTGGAGGTGACGGAGCCCCTACCCCACTGCAGATACTTATGAGAGACCCATCTGCCTTCCAGCCTGCACTGAGACGGCTGATCCACTCAGTGCACACGTGGTTGTCCTCACCGGCAAGTTCAAGTTCCGGCAGAGGGAGACCAGCGCCCCGCTGACGGGGGCAGTGCCGTCTTCTCCCGGGGCCTCGGAAGCACCCACTTCTCCCCCACCCCCACCCATCCTTCTCCGAAGACGCTTCACTTCGTCTGGCTGTGCCACGGCTGTGTCCCCACGGGCGCCCCAGTTCCTCTGGCTGCCCCTTCTCCCTGGAAAGACAACACAGAGGTGAGACCCTCGCCAGCCAACTATAAAACAGCCCGCAGGGTTCAGAATGAACACAAGGGGCTTTTGTGAAGGAGGAGGTGGCAAAGAGAGAAGGCCGCGCCCCGGCCCTGGCTTCCCACGCGTCCCGAGCACGGGCAGGCCCAGTGCGGCCTGGACCCTGAGAGCTCCGGGCCTCTGTGGACACTGCACGGTGCAGAAGTGGTGGGAGACGAGCTGGACACAGAAGTCTTACCCTGGGAGAATTGCAGAGTTATTCTGAAGGTGCTGGCATTTTCTCTCAGCAGCTGGCATGTGCGTGGGGGTCAGCACGCCCACCAGTGCACCTGCCTCCTCCTGGGGGTTGGGGGGACGCCTCCCCCTACAGGCAGGTCAGCTCCCTAGGAACGTGGGTGCCTATGTGCCCCCAGCAGCAAGGGAGTATCCTTGTGCACATGGATTTTTCTCACAGGAACTTTCATTTCCACACAATAGATGGGGTGAGTCCAACTCCAGGTCAGGGCAGGACCCCATCTCCCAAAACGGCACCTCAGTTTTTTCCCAAGACCTCAGTGGCCAGCAGGTCCCGCCCGGAATCTGGGCCAACATTTTTCTCTGCAGCCCCCAGAGAAGGTCCTGGAAATAGCCCCCTCTTCTCCCCTGTGTCCTCGGTGCCCGGAAGTCACTGAAGGGACCCAGGTTCCAGCTGGGCTCCGGAGAACATGAGAGCTCGGCCACACCCGTCCAGGTGCCCCAGGACACCTTGCCCCACTCCCTGGTTACCTCAGGGAAATCACTGCCGCAAAAGTGGAGTCAGCTGCATTTCCCTCCCTCCCCGCCCCTGGGCCTCTCCCAGCATCTTGTGCATGACAGGGGTCGAGGGAGAGGCTGCAAGTCCCAGGTAAGAGCCACCAGCAAGTTGATGGGGCAGCCAGACAAGGGCACAGCGCTCTGGTCCCCGTGAAGGGCTCCTCTTAACACACACCAGGCACAGGACAAACAGTCTCCTTCCCAAATACTCTCAAGTACTGCTACGCGTGCTGTTCTGGGCTCAATGGTGCCACAGTGCTGGCCAGAGAGGTGGACATGGAGTCCTTGGGGGGGATTTCCATGGAATGTCTTAAAAAGAGGACAAACCGGGGGCTGGCCCGGTGGCACAGCGCTTAAGTGCACATGCTCTGCTTCGGTGGCCCAGGGTTCGCAGGTTCGCAATTTCGGATCCCAGGCAGGCACAGACGCACCGCTTGTCAAGCCATGCTGTGGTGGCGTCCCATATAAAGTAGAGGAAGATGGGCATGGATGTTAGCCCAGGGCCAGTCTTCCTCAGGAACAAAAAGAGGAGGATTGGCGTCAGATGTCAGCTCCGGGCTGGTCTTCCTCACAAAAAAAAAAAAAGAGGCCACACCCAACGGGCAGGCAGCCACTGGCTCTTGGCCCTTGTTTCTTCCTGCTGCTTGGAACAAATAACGCGGCAGCAGCCGCGATCGCCACCCTCAGAGCACGAGGACAAGGTGGTGCAGCAGGAGGTGGGGCCTGCGCCGCCGCCTCGCGTGTCCCGATTCACGAGGGAAAAATAAACTCCCACATTTTTCAGTGACTCTCATGTGGGTTTTCTGTTGTAACAATCCACTCTTACTGGGAACTCAGCAGCTGAACGCAGTCACCAACGCAACACAAGTGAGCCTGTAAATCGGGGGGCTGGTTCAGGCTGAAGGGAGAGCTGTGAGGACGTTGACTGGGAGACGAGGCACAGTGGGGAAGAGGCACTTTGGGTCCGAAGGCCGGGGAGGCCGAGCCGGGTGTGCAGGAGTCAGATGCCCAGACCAGCTTTCCAGGCAGAGGCCGAGGCCACAGCAAACCCCGACTGTGAGTCCCAGCGAGTAGCTTGTCCGGCCCGAGAGAGTGAGAGGAGCTGTGTGGACGCACTTAGTGGGCGTGGGGGGTGGTGTCACACGCACTTGGAGCAGCAAGCCAGGCGCCCAGAGGGCAGCGGCTTCTGGATCACGGGAAAGGTCTCAGAGTTGAGTCTTCAGGCCATGAGAAGTCTCTGGAGGGCTTCAGGGGAAACAGGACCATCCAACCCTGGGACCTTCCGGCCAGCCCGCTGGCGTTCTGACGGGACACTGTGGGGCCGTCCTGTGCAGTGCGGGAGGTCGAGCACACCCCTGACTAACCACTGGATGCCAGCTGCACCCCTTGTTGTAACAACCACGAATGTGTCCAGGCATCACCAGTGTCCTGTAAGGAGGGGTAGAGAGCAAGATGGACAGAGGAGGCGGTGTGAGGGTCTCCATAAGACGCCATGGGGCCAGGCTGTAGAAAACAGGGAGAAGGGGACCAATTCGAGATGCAATTTGGAGAAAACCAAGGCAGAACTTGATGGTGTATTAGCAGAGGCCAAGCCACGTGTTCCACACACCACGTGCATTCCCCAGGCACACGAAAGCCCTTTCCAGGGGGCTGCCGTTTTCTTACACTGGGGCCACGGGAGGGGGGTCTGGCCAGTGGGAGGGGGGCCGGAATAAGGTCTGCGTTCCAGGCAGCGTGGCCCCCTCGAGCACTCTCTCCAGCCTTTGCAGGAGGAAGAGAACACGGCGGGACTGTGGCCCCACACCAGGAAGGAGCCAGGCCCCGAGACCCCTGGGGAGAGTTTTCTGTGAGAGCGGAGACGTGAGCCAGACAATGCCATGACTGGGGAGTAACCTCTGTGCTACCTGGTCGCTCATTTGCTGCTAGGGCATCGAACATGGCAGCCTGACCTCTGAACCCGTGGTGGGCGGCGGGCCACGGAAGGCGGTGCTGCTGGCTGAGATGGGGCGGCTGCTGGACTCAGGAGGAGAATCAAGACATTCTCCCTGGACAGGCTTCACAGATTCCAGGTGGAGACCTTGAAGGGGCAGTGGATCTGAAGCTCAGGGGCTGGTCTGAGCTGGAGAAGTGCTGCCAGGGGCGTCCGCTTGGCTGTGCTGCTGGAAGGTCACAGACTCCATCTCCAGCCATCCTCGCCTTCAGATAAGGAAAGCTTGGTCCTGGCCAGCAGCACACAGAGCCAAAGCTCCCATCTGGCTTATCAGTGCTTCCACCGCGCTTGCAGTGGACTTCAGGACGTGCGGACACTGCACACGGTGGATACGAACCAGCCGGGACTGTGCCCACACTCAGCCTCTGGGAAAACAGGCTGCTCTGCTGGGAAGCAGCGTCTCGTTTGGTTCTCAGGAACCCAGGAGGAAAAATCCCTGCTGTCTCGTGACGGACGAGGCCTCAGGGCTGGGAAAGCAATACTGACCAGAAACTTATCAGGGGAAAGAGACTCCCTCTGATAAGATGTAGAAACACATAGAGAGACACCCACCCAACAGCACCAGCGGCTCCAGGATTGATCTCAGACACGAACTGCTCCCACTGCCGCCAAGCGCAGGAAACACTTCCAAGGACTCGAGTGCAAGTCCTCCAGACAGAAACAGCGCCACAGACAGGTCTAGCCCGCCCTGGCTGGAAGATTCTAGAAGACCTTGATGGGAGCAAAGACATCCACTCCTGGTGTTTGGACAACTCAGATCACTGAGGTTTTGCTGAGCAAAAGTAACACTTGGTAATAATTTCAGGAAACCAGATTTCCACGGAAGACACTTCGGGCAAATCTGGAGGAACCACCTTTAAGTTTTGTAAGATTCACTGACTGCTGCCCAAGAAACAGATGTCATCATAAAGATGGTAAAATATGGAAAAATAAAAAAGATGGAGGATAAAATAATTTAATAAACAAGTAAAGCCTAAGTGATGGTCAGTCACTCCAGTAATAGACAGACGTGGTATGTTGTCACGATAGCATCCCTGTGAAGGAGCTGTTCTCTGTTGTAGTTAAAATGCATGTGAGTTATAAATGCAATGGATCTCACAACACACTTGTGATGGGGTAAGCTGCGTTCCTCTGCACTTCTGCTGGTCCACATTTCTTGTTGAGTGTGACCGGCACCCCCATCGCCTTTGTGAAGAGCCCCCTCCTGCTTTGAGAAAAGCTCCCCCTCTGGCTCTAAGCAGTGATTGGCATAAAGCTGTCATATTCACCCAAAAGTGACTGACCCAGCTGTGGGCACTGACCCTGGCCGCACAACTACCACTTTTCCCCGGGGGCCGTGAACAGGTCTGGCAACAGGGGTTTCTAGTCTCTTTGGAGATGAAGCAAATGGATGCTACCAAGATTCATGTTTTCAGCTGAGCAGGAGAAGCCTGGAGAGTTTAAGCCAATGGTGAGAGACAAGCAGAGAGTAGAGCTCTGAGGTCGCTGGAGGGTCTCCTTCCAGTCATCTTTGAGGCCCAGGCGCAACCCCGAATCCCTACCATGTGGCTGGTGAGCCAAGTTCACTGGTCTCTGCTGGTTTGAGCTACGCGCTTGTGATGGCAACAGAGTTCTGACTAATATATACTTTGTGGTCCTGGGACTTATCATTTCATCTTTTAAATTTCAGCCAGAAGGTATCAGCTTGGAATCTCAAAAAGTCTCTTAAGAATCTACAAGTACTAGTTGTCCGTCTGCAAAGATGAAGGGAAAGGAGGAAATCAACACATAACACTTGATCTACTTCATGAGGAAGGTATTATTTTCCCCCTTTCACATGAAGAGAAAGTGAGCTCAAATAAATAAAGTAACTTGCCAAAAGTCATGCAGTTAGTAAGTTGATCTGAGAAGAAAAACTCAAAGCAAATATTGGCTTTCCACTATAGCACATTGACTCTTATCATGAACAAGAAGAAGGAAAAAAAGACATCTCTGTGAGCTTGGTGCCTCAGAAACGCCCAGATGAAAAGAGGCTCCTAGAAATGGCGGAGCTGGAAATACCTGAGGAGCAGGCAAATTGGGAAGATGTGCCTAAGAGCCCAGTGGCCATGGGAACAAGGAGGGGCCTGGGCTGCACCAAGGAGGCAGTCTCAGGCAGAAGAGAGTGAGTTGACAGTCAATCTGAATATACTTACTTTGCTCCAAGTGATTATCTTTGAGTTTTCA